CAGTCCAGAAGCCCCCCTGTGTGAAGGTTCCTCTTCCTTCAGCTGTCATCTCCATCAGCTGCTACACAGTCTGTACCAAGGGAGATGAAGCAAGTTCATTTCACCAGCTTTCTTGAAACTCTTTTCCCCTCTTCCCTCCATATTCATTTTTCTTGAGTTGTGCCTTTCAAGATAGTAAACATGCAGGAAGGTACCATCTTCTTTAGCAGATTATTTATAAGCTATGCTCGGAAAAAAATTTGGCTGAAGGGTGAAATAAAAATAGTATAAACAGTCTAAATAAGCTAAGCTGGTGAGAAACCAGAAAGACCAAGGGTAGAAGCTCTACCCACCCACCCAGCACAAGGGGAGATGATTTTCCACAAGCTGTTTAACAGTTATGTGACTGGATAGTCATCTGAAGGAGATGGTGTAACTTGGTATCCTGCACTAGCAGGGGGTTGGACCCAATGGCCTTTGTTGGCCTCTTCCAACTCTGCTATTCTATGAGGTTTCATACACTGCATTAGCCTTCCACAACTTGGGATCCTCCAGATGTATTAATGATAAATCCCAGCATTCCCAGCTTAATTACTAGATTTGAAGGGGGTTGTAGTCCAATAGATCTGGAAAGTCCCAAATTAGGGGTAAATTTGCTTACCTAATTAGGGGAAAACTTTCATGTCTACAGAGCAACATTCTGCAAGACAAACTGACCACACTTTTGGGGAAGGAATGGGGAGTAAATGATAGCTTAGCACAGCACAAGGTATCACTTCATTTTGTGTTCCAAAGTTTCTACATCAGAAATGCAGAACCTATAGAATTGTGGGACTCATTCCAACCTGTGGCACCTCTTGGAATTCCTCTAGAGTGTGTAGGTTAGCTTCCAAGTTCTGCTCCCTGAAGGAATCCCTCAGAGGAGATTCACATTCCACATCTCTGCTATTATCTCTGCTATTACCTCTGATCTGAAAATGAAGAAAATGACTCCATTGTTGGAGCACACCAACAGTGCCACACCATCTGTTATCTGAGATCAGAGACAACAGTGCAGGGATAAGAGAATTTAAAAATTTATGTCAATGAGAATAAAAGAGAATTTTTATAAGCTGGTTTGGAAATGGTACTTAACTCCAGTTAAATTGAATTACATGAATAATGACTATTCCAACACCCAAGAACTGGGTACATATTTCCATATGTGGTGGAAGTGTAAATATACAAATGAGTTTTGGGAAAGGATTTTTAAAGAAATGTGTAAAATATTGAATTTAAATATTGATGTTGACCCTAGATTAGCATTGTCGTCATTATTTAGGGAACAGATGGAGTATTTAGGGAGCATTATTGTTTAGGGAACAAAATACTAAAGAATTGATGATAAATTTATTAGCAGCAGTAAGGTTAATAATAGTGAGGAACTGGAAAACAAAGGGTGAATATCATAGTATATGGTATAAAGAAGACTGGAATATAGGTATTAATGAAAAGTTAGCTTGTGATATTAAAAGGAAAAAGGGTATGACAAGTGAAAATTAATTTGAAAATATTTTGAAACCTTTTATTGAATATGGTTTAATAAAAGGAAAAGGGTGTGAAGCACCACAAGAGTCAATGCAGTTGTAGAAGGGAAGTGGGGCAGCCTGAATGAATAAATGATCTTACATTAAGTAATTAGAGTTGTCGGCCCTGATGGAGGTAGCACTGATGTTGATGTGTTGTTTGATCATGATGTTTAGTCACAATTGTTGTTATTGTGTTGTTTTCTATTTTAAAAAAATAAAAAACCAATTACTTGTAAAAAAAGACGACAATGCAGATGCAGGTTACAAAAAGAGCCAGTGTTGCTGAGTTCAGCTGTCCCATATTCCCACTGTTGGTTCTACATCAGTCAGACAACAAAATCCTTGAGAAAAAGCCCCAAATTTGAGAAGCCTATATTATTGGCATAATTATTTCTACACTTTTAAAATGTTCAGTGTGTTATTATCCTGAGATGCTAGCCTTGAACAGGTGGGTGTCCTGATTTAGTCCATGGAGGCAGCCTAATACTACCTTAAATTAAGGGTACAAATAACTTGGATCTAGCCTTTCACAAATTAGTTTTCAAGAACATGGAGAAATAAAACACTGACACAGGTAAGTATGTTGGGTCATCACGCATTGAAACTGTACAGAGCTACACTACTAATCTTGAAGAGCAGAGAATATGAGAATAAAGTCAGTGTTAGTTGAGGTGTGATATGCACAAATATCTAGAAGAAAGGTTGAGCTGTGGCCAAATTACCAACTTCTTCCCAACAAAATTCCTGCAGCTTTATCAATCACACTGCATGCAGATATTTAGGAGCAAAAACAGACAAAATAAAGGAGAAACCATCAGCTGAACTTCAAGATATTAAATTCTTATTTATTTATAGCTTTTTCACCCTGCTCTTTGGTTTTTAAAAACAACAACTCCCTGAGCAATCAATGAAACGAGGTAGTTCTGCCCGCAGGCTTAATGTTAATTTTAAAATGTCAGCCACCAGGAAGCTTCCAGGCAGAGGGTTTCAAGTGCTACCAATCAAGAGGGCATAGTGCAGCAGTGCCATCTTTTTCTTTTTCCTTTAATGGATCTTCTTTCATAGGAAACAAAAACAGCAGAAGCGACATCAGCGGGTTACTAGCGGATCATGTCAGTGCACGAACCCCAGTAAAATTCTGTGAATAAGGCAGTGCGATGGCACAATGAAGCATCATCCGTAACGCCTCGTTATTTGGCATGCAATCCTAAACAAAAACATGGGGCATGCTGGGGCTTGTGGGGCCTTTTACTTTTTCCTTTCCTTTCCTTTGTCTAAGCATGCTTCGGATTGTGCCCTTATTTAAAGGACGTATACCCTTTTCTTTAGTCGGATGTAAAAGCAAAAAACCCCGAATTGCCACAAATAACCAAATGTGTCTTCCCAGCCGTCCGCTGCGGCAGCTGCAGGGGAAAGCTCGCAGTAACCCCATTACCAGAGCAAGCAACGCCCAGGTTAGGACGGGGTGTCCCCAGAGGAAAGGCTGGAGAGAGAAAAAGCCGGGGAAGAGCCTTGGCTTTCCGGCTGAGCGGACCCCCCGAGTTCCCCCACCTCATCTGGAAGTGCTCGGCCACGCGCTCCCGGTGCCGGAAGTCGCTGCCATCGGTTCCCGCGGTTCGAGGTCCTGCGCGAGAGGCCATCTTTCATGAGGGGCTTGAAACGGCCGGGACGGAGGACAGAGAGCGCAAATGCGCATGCGTAAATGCTGACGCTCTCCTTTTAGGGGTCCGCCCATCCTTTCACCTCCCCACGCAACTTTCCGCTCCACCGGCGGCTGTTCTGTATCTTTGGAGGATAGACTCTATGGTCGTCGCGCAACAAAGATTTTCTTTTCGCTCGCGCCGCTCTATGTTAGCGGCTCTCCTGGCTTCTCCGATTTATCCCTCCAGGTGGCGCTGCACAATCCCTAGTCGTCCGAGAAAAGGGGCGGAGTTACGCACTGCCTATTCTGTCGTGTGTAACTACTTCTCCCAGCAGTCCCCCGCCAGGATGACTGCTTTTTGTATGCACGTGGTTGTCTGAATGGACCTCCCCCTCCGTAACCCGCTAAGGTCTCTCGGGATGTTTGGTTCCAGCGCTTGGCGCCTGTTCCGTGGGTGTGGAAGCTCATGGGTATCCTTCAGTACGCGCGCATGGTAAGAAGCAGTGTGAAGAAACTCAGTGGGTTGCCTTCTGGCAAGGCTTGTGTCACACGACAGGCAGATGTGGTTCTTCCCAACACGGAGATACAGTGACGGGATGAGGGAGTATTGCCTGTTGAATATCTTCCTCCTTTGCTAGTCACAAAGGGAGTAATGGGAATAATCCCAATACTGTGTCCTGTCTGGATGGAGGGAAGTTCTTTTTTCCCTAGTCACATCTCCATATTACCTTATATTTTCCAAATATCTGACCAATAACCTGTTGAATGGGAAGGAAGATGTGTGGGAATTAATTAGAGCCGTGCCTCTTCAGGCTTCAGCTTGGAACCTGTTTGTAGTGCCAGTGCTCAACCGTGAAAAGTAATTATAAAGAAAAGGACCTCCAATCATGTGCAGAGTGTATTTTTCACTATTAAGTACAACCTGGCATTGGGCAGTAACTTTTTAAAATTATGATCAATTTTCTAGGCAAGATGGGACCTTTTCAAATAAAGTCATGGGTATGGTTGAGTAGTGTGAGATGTGAGAACTTGGGGAGGAGCTGTTTGTAGAGGAGAGGTGGAAAGGAGGTATTAGATGTCACTGATTGTGGAGTAAAGGGGTAATGGAGGGAGAGGAATCTGAAAGTGTTTGGGGCTTGTTTGAACATGACTCAAATCTGTGAAGGGCAATAAAAGGGTTGAATATGGTGATAGGATTCACATGGATGTTTATTCCTTCAGTAATTGTTTTATTTTTGCCTACTGACCATCTTATCAGCTACTTTGAAAGCTGTGCCACAGTGGCCATTTAACTGCCTTGGGAGAGGTCTGGAGGTGGAGGCATAGCTGCCCATCTCCAGAATGCCATCTTTACACCTGCTACTAGATCAGCCAGGAGTTATCCTGGTCCTTGCCTTTAATTCAGAATAAGCAGTTCTCTAAAACTGTTTAAAACTCTGTTTTCCTCCCCACCCATAGATCCCATCTGTGTGTGTAGTGTGCTGTTCAATGGGCATAGACCCTCCTTGTTACCGAGAGCTGGTAACACCCCACTCCCCTCTGATGGAACCCAAAATATCAGTTCAGAGACCAGCATGTATCCATTGTTGGGGAAGAGTAAGCATGGTGGGCCAACTGTAGATCTGGAAGGGCAAGGAAAGTAGGGTGCCTAAGCTTGGCTGGCTGCACAGAAATGGGCATCTTGTGTCCCTCCAGAAGTCTTGGCCTACAACTCACACCATCTCTTACCTTTTGTTAAGCTGACTAGGCTGATGGATGTTGCAGCCCAAAACATATGGAGCACTGTGTTATCCACCCTCTAGCAGAGACTCTTTTTACAATTTCTCTTCTTGTAGGTACCAGTTGTTTCTGAAGCAAAGAGGCTTGGGGAAACCAGAGGCAGACCATTCTGTTCGAGTAAAGATCTTGGGGCCCCAAAACCCACTGGGGCGTGAGGAACTGCTGAAGCTACTGGCAGCATCAGTGGTGCACAGAGATGGTACGTATGTTGTCTCCCATATTACTAGGTCTCTTGGACTACAGCTACCATAATACCAGCCACGGTATCTGGAGGGCAATAGCTTAGGTCAGGTGGTGTGCATGTTCTTTCTCCCTTCATTTTTCCCCGCTAGTAATATTGGTTTTCCAGAAAACATTGAATTGGCACCAATTAAGTTAAAGAATTAGCCTGATTTGCATCAGAAAAGTTTCTGTTGCCCTTAGAAGGTAATCTAATGTGTTTATTTCACTTGTGCTATGCAGACAACAAAAACACTCCCCTTGTCAATTTTATTGTTCAATTATATTGCTTGAACCATTTGAATATTTCATTTGAAAAATGAAGAGATATAAATATCACATTATGTAGGCCTTTGTGTTGGAATACTTGTAAAACTTAGGCACTAGTATGTACTTCCCTTATGCTATTTACATTTAAGAAAGAAAACAAGGATATGGAAAACTGTTGACACACTAATAAATGTTAGAAATCTAAAAATAGATAAGTATGAAACGCTGACAATGACTCATCTACAACTTTGAAACTGCCACATTTACCTAATACTGTAATTGCAATTGGCATAATGAACTTCTGAAAGAAGAAGATGGCATGTAGAAAGGGGCAGAGAGTTGAATTCTCAGCCAAGCCCTGTTTCCTGCAGGCTGAAAATCTCACCAGGCCTTCCTTGGCTTTTGAATTGGGGCAGGCTGTGAACATGCCCATGAGGGGATTTGCAACACTTGCAAAAGCTTGACCTGAAGGCAGCCTGATCCTGACTTGCTGGCTTGCTTTGTTTTTCAGATGCACTGGTGGCCTTCAGCAAACCCCCAGGCTTACCTGTTTCAGGTATGTAGTGTGACCATTAGATGTGTTTCAAATACTGCTTTGTTGTCCTAGGTGTACTTGCAAAGCAGAAATCAGGCAGGTAGGCTGCATTGTCACATGGGAAGTTAAATGAGCTGCTCCCAGAAGTGAGGGAAGGTCTCTGAGATGGCCAGGCTCTGGTGTGACATGCATGCATTTTCTCTTCTTCCCTGTCTACAATAGGCAAACCAGGGGAATTGACTTTCCTGTCTCTTCTACCGGATCTAAGCCAGAAGCTGGGCCTCCCGCAGGATCTCCAGGTGATCAAAGCTGCAGTAAAGTAAGTTACTGAGGAAGGTTTTGGGGAAAGAATGTTTTGGGATGGGCAGCCTGGTTTTAGACTATATCTCTCCAATGGCCATGCTCTAAAACATTCTAAGGGTACCAGGTCATCTCAAAAAGATAGGATTTGTATATAGGATAGGTGCAGTTTAATTTATTTATTGCACACATGTGATCTGCCTTCCCCTGCCCATGATTTCTTTAAGTTAATAGAAAGTGGTTCTGAGAATTCTTCCTCCAGTTCCTTTATGACTCTCAGATGGAATTCATCAGGCATTGAAGATTTGAACTCATTCAACCCAGTCAGATGATCCTTGACCATTTGCCTATCAATCTTGAGCTGCCATCCTGCTCCTTCAGCTTGTACTTCCCCTTCATTGGGAAGGTCATAGATTTTCTTTTGGGAGACATCTGAGCCAATAGGAATTGAGTACTTCTGTCTTCTCTTTGTCAGCTGCCATCCACATTAAGCAGCTGAACCCTCATCTGCTTCAGAACTTTCTTAAATAGTTCTTAAAGGCGGTGAAAAGGCTTGTGACTGACTCTTATGAACTTTTTAACATTGGTGTTGATGGCTGTAGAGTAGTATGGATTGAATTGACTTTCTGTTCTGTTTTCTTAATAGATTTTACATGTATGCTGTCACTTTTTTCATTTGGCCTCCTTTATCTCTCAAACCAGCCATCTCTAACTTGCTTCTCTCCAGCTTTATTAGACCGCACATGGACATGTTGGCTGAGAGTGAAAGGAGACATAGTCAGAATCATCTTATTGCATACCATTTGATTTAGACTGTGGGCCCTATGGGGAAGGAACGGTTAGCTCTGAGGAAGACAGCTGCAAGCTTCATGGGTCTGAGCCTACAGGGTAGAGTTGGCTATAAACAAAATAGCTTGGAGGTGCTTCAGGCATAGAAATGATGGCGAAGTGTTGTGGTGGTTGATTCTTAAGGAAATTGTCCTGGATCCAAGTTCAGATCTCATATCTGCTAGGAAAGGACAGAATAGGCTTGCCTCTTATTTTTCAGCCTCTGTCCATAGACTGGGACAGATTAAAGGCTTATGTCAGAGAATGAATGTTTTAAAGGGTTTTGTATGTTCCTAGGGAGAGTTCTGGACTTGTTCTGCTCTCAGGTTGCCCAAATACCTGCCTGCTCCTCCAAGATTTCTACACTAAGAGCCGGAGGGCAAAATGTCCAGCTGCTACTTACTGGTGAGTTAGAATCTTGCTTATTTCTTCTTGTTTCTGCAGCCAGTGTGTTGTGTGTGGAATCTACAATGGAATAGTGGGGAGGACTGTAGGTTCCCGCTCTGCTTTGCTTGTGTCTCAAAGCCCACGTTGAATGCAAGTGAACTGACGACAAACCCTTTCTTTACAGTGCTGTCACCACCAGGATCCCTGCAGCTTTGGAGGGGGAAGTCCGTACAGGCCTCAAGTTGATGCCGGTGGAAGATTTTGATCTGGTGAGGACAGGTTAATAGGAAGTGAGGAGGGCTTTCTCCAGCTGCAGCTCTGCAGAACTTGCTATTGCTGATGCAGCACGTACTTTGTGGTATGGAGGGCCAGCTCAGGTCCCTGAAGAGCCCCAGCATGTCTGGTCTTTCCCTGCCTGAGATCCAACTGCCTGGACTGGGCACAGGGATTACCAGCAGGGCTGTGAAATTATCAGGCAGATGCTGACCTGCGGCCTCCGTCTGGGTTGCAGGTGGTGCCCGTGGCTTCCCCATCTCAGCGCAGCCTCGAAAGGAGGGAGGTAAAAAATACACGGACGCTCTACAAGGTGCTGGACTCCTGTGATGGCTGCGCCCTGCTACAACTGCAGCCCTTATCAGGTACGTTACAGCGCGGACCATGGAATGACTCTGGAGTAGGTTCAGTCTAAGGCAGTCTCCCGGCACCTGATGCCTTTGAGAGGCATTGGACTACATGGCCATTAGCCATGCTGGCTGAAGACTCTGCAAGTTGTAGTTCAATGTATCTAGAAGACATCGGGTTTGGGGAGGCCACCCTAAACCATTGTGATGCGCAAAGCTAGCGGAAAAACTTGATAACACCTGGAAATGAGGTAGTTAAGTTTCCTGAAAAGCTCAGTAATGGCTGCTTCTCATGAAACAGCAGGCGTTCCTATCATGCAATTGAAGTTTTTCAGCATGCAGTCTGGAGCCAGAATCTACAACCGTGCAGCCTTAAACAAAACCAAATCCCGAAAGGTCAAGTTTTTAGTCCTCATGATTGTACAGAAGAATTTGAACAGTGTCATCTCCAGGTCTTTCAGTGCCTAGCAAAGCGACTACCTCACACCATGCCGTTGTTATTGGTTTCATGGGAGGAAAAACATCTGCTTCCTGGGATATTAATAGCTTATGGTTTTAATATCTTTTTTTCACATTGAAACATTTATTTGCTTTGAACATTTTTGAAATATGTTGTAGAACAGATGCTGCTAGTGCAGTGCATTCCTTTGCCATGTGCCAGGCCTTGCCCTGCCACAACTGCCACTGTCTGCCTACTTTGCCTTCCCCTAGAAATGGCCCTGCATTTAATGTACATGAGCATTGTTTCCTAATCCAGACCAGTGAGACTGGTTTAGGTTCTCCCATGACTTGGACCCAGAGCTGCTATGGCCAGAAACAGCGCCCTGTGACCTCGTGCTGACCACATGACCATGGGAACATCTTCAGTCAGCTCTGGCTCATGACCCTAGAAACTGAGTGCCACCCCCTATATCCATTTGACTAGTGGAGTAAAATCTGCAGGGACCCCTTCCCTTCCCTTCCCTTCCCTTCCCTTCCCTTCCCTTCCCTTCCCTCTCCTCTTATTCCAGCCTTGCTTCCTGGAAGTACCTGTTCTGATTTACATGGTCCCCCTTTTTACCTGTTCTGTGCTGTTTGGCTTCTTGTTATCAGGTAATATTGTAAAAAACAGTGCAGTCTGGAAGAAAATAATGCAACAAGAACATTGTCTTTAAGCAGCCTTTATTCAGGTGGCAGCACCTGGATTTCTTGAGTGTATACTGAGGCCATGACAGACCTTTTCTTTGATCTTATTTTTAATCTTATTTTTGGATGCTGTATGCATCAATCCTACTCCAAAGTCTTTAAGAGAGCTTTAAGGACTTGTATATCTTTTGCCGGATGAGTATTGTGTTTCAGACCCTTTCCTGCAACAACAGGGGGTTGTACCCAATGGCCTTCATGGCCTCTTCCAATTCTACTACTCTATGATTCGAATCTCTCATTTTTCTGCCCAACAGCCTTCACTGGCCAGCTCCTGGTACACCTGACCCTCATCCTGAGCCCTGTCCTGGGTGACCATGTCTATTCTTCCCGTGTGGGGACCGTACTGGGAGAGCCCTTCCTCTTGCCTGCTGAAACTACTCTGCCTCGGACACAGGTGCCAGACTGATGCAGCTTAGCAAGACTGGGGAGAGAGCCTGGGAAAAGGAGTCAGTGCGCATTCATGTCGCTTTTCACTCTGGATGGTCACTTGGTACACAAATGTAGCTGTCAATCACTATGGGATTATTAGTGCAGAATAGAAGTTTAATAAGCAAATGATTAAATGATCATCTTCATACCTTAGGATTGGTACGTTCCAGTCACTTGCAAGGTCAATTTAAGTGGGGAGTGACCAATTATTTTGACTGCAAATACTCTAAAATAATGACATCCGTACCATTTGAAATTGGCAGTGAATTACTACACTGGTAATTGGTAGGAGCAACAAATTACTAAATTGGCGAGGAGGAGGAGGGGAAATTTGCAAGGTACCAGAAGGCAAGTGACCTTCCATAGTAGCTTTAGGTTCACCACTCATTCTTGGATTGCAGAGCCCAGGTTTGTTCTAGCCATTTGTGTAACTGAAATCTGGGAGCCTCTCACCTAGGGTTTTATCTGGTATAATACTGGACACAGTCTTAAGAAGTCAGTTCACATTTCCCATCTTTGAAAGTGAGAATAGCAGTGGCCTATGTTAGACTTGGGAAGTGGAATTAGCCAGTGCAACTTGAGGACAACCTAGATAGACCACAGATCCTGATCAAAATCCCCAGCATTTGTGTGTGTGCAGCCAAGAGCTGGAAGTCTCTCCCTTGGAGTTTGATCTGGTGTGGGACAGGATGGAATGGAATGATACATATTATTGGATGGGTGGAGAAAAAGACTTCGGCTTTGCCTTTCTAATCAGGCAGTTTACATCAAAATAGAAAGCTATGAAGCCATCAAAGAACTGCTCATTAAAATGACAATAAAATAAGCAGCAAGAAACCAAAGCAATACAAGAATTCAAACCAGCCAGTAAATTCAACTAGGAAAAGCACAGGGAAGAAAGTTCTGGTTCGATGCTTGAAGGTGAAAGGTGTGGAGAGGATGTTCCACAACGGAGGGGAGGGTGTCATTCGGATTGCAGTACCCACACACTTAAGCGCTGATGATAGGGGCACATGGAGCATGAGCTTGATGACAATCCTGTAAGCAGTCAGGTTCACAGAGGCAAAGACCAGGCTCCCCGTGCTTTAAGGCAAAAAGCCCCTTAGCAGCCCTTAGCCACTGCTTATGTGACATGGCATAGGCCCAGGGTGCTTAATGCCACCTGTCCTGTCCAGCATGTTCAAGGCAGTTGAGCGAGGTTCTCATTTGTGTGGAAAGTATTCCCACGTTGATACTGCTGATAAGATTTACTGGAGTGTGTCTAAAATGCTGTGCTGGAACCCTCAAGTTCACATTCCTGCTCCATGAAGAAGCTGTCAGGTCTCAGACAAAAGTCACTGTTACCTTTCAATTTGGTTGCCAAGAGACAGTCAGCTTCCCTGAAACAAAAATGGCAAGAAAGCCAAGGGAAGAATAAAATGAGGATTGCCAGTGCTTTGCTATGGACATGATTCATGATGATAATTCCTCTTCCCTTCCTTCCACCTGGTAGATTCTAGAGGAGTCCCTGTTGAAGAAGCTCCACGTGCAGCAGCAGCAGGTGCATCGCTTGCCGCTCCACCTCCACCTGCACCAGCTCCTCCTCCCTACTGCAGCCTCCTCCAGCACTACCACTGTGCTCACAGCCCCTCTGCCGCCGTATTTCCTGCAGACGCTTTCTCTCCTGGGACTCGCTTTGCCACAGGACAAGCAGGGAGAGAAGACATCCAAAGCACTTGCCCAAATCCAGAAGCCTCAGCCCACCCCAGTCAAAAGGACGGGGCGGCCTTAAAGCCAGGAGCCCAGAGCAGGAGAAGGGGCCCAGCACTGCAGCCAGCGTGGGTGAAGAATCTTGCTACCTGCTGGCAAGATGCTCACAGAGCTTGAAGCAGAGCTGCAGAAATGGACACGCAAAGGCTTCCTTCACAGCTGTGGTCAGTCTTAAGTTGGCTGCAGGAGCGATTTCAAGGTGTGTGTTCTCTCTCCCTCTCCCTTGTCAAATGGGCTCCAAGGACAGCCTTCCTTCCGGAGCTTCTGTTTGCCCTGAGCAATGGAACCTTGCTAGCCCGTGTGTGTTGGCGGGTGCCGTGGCAACGGCTGTCAGCCGCTCAGCTTAGCTCCAGGCCAGAAAGGGCTGGGCAAACCCAGGGCCTCCACCAGCACTGGGAGTGCCCCACTTCCACGAACCTAAATGGCCTCTATGCATTCATTATGGTGGCTGGATCATAATCAGTGCAGCACTAAGACAAAAGTTCTCCGAATTGATCCTGATCACGAGGCAGTGGAGGTGCCCGCTTGTTGGATTTGTTTGCCCAGGGGAACACCAGCAGAGGCCTCGAACAACCAGGTACTGCCTCTGTCCTATGAACAGAGGACAGGCATCTCCCCCTTTTGGTATTGGCGTTTGCTAAGTACAGATCCTAGTTCTGAAAATCGTGCAAGACAGGAGGTTTAAATTCCAGTAGAGTTTTTTAAAACCTGAATATTTTTTTGGCTAGACCGCTGTCACTGAAAGCGTTCCAAGTAAAATCTCTTCACCTGGTTTTTTTTTTGGTTTTTTTTTTGAGGGGGAGGAGTTGTTTTTCATTTTTGGTTAATTGGACTAAGAGGGTTGGATTCAAACCCATCATTCCACCATCAAAGGGATATGGCTTGTGAAACACGATTTCTGTCTCCCCCATGGCAGCTCCCCTGAAATCTCTGTTGGAGGGTTCCCAACTCTCTAGAGCAGGTTTACCCAATGCAGTTCTGGAAGAGAAGTGGGGCAACCTGAATAAATAAATAATCTTACATTAAGTAACTGGAGTTGTTGGCCCTGGTGGAGGTAGCACTGCTATTAATGTATTGTTTATGTTAATGTTTGTTTGCTACTATATTGTATTGTTTTTGCTATGTAGTTTAATAAAAAATAAAGAGGAAGTTTACAGGATGTGGTGGGTGATAGTGGGGAGGGAAAAAAACAGAAGTTCTGTTCATTAGGGTTTTTTTTGGTAGCAGAATGAGACGTTAGTATACAACCCAGAGTATGTATGTATTTTTTGAAGTCACTCTTCAGTATAAATACTCTGTCATCTTACATGTTAAATAATAATCGAACAAACAATAACATGTTAACCAGTCATATAACACATGGTAAGAAACCATTTAAAGATATAAAACAGCAGATAAAAGCAGTGAGCAATAAAAATGTATATTGTATATTTCAATGTATAAAAGCCTACAAGATAGTCACCTACCAATACATAGGAGAGTACAATAGGTGCTTGGGGCATGAAAAGGTGACACCACAAAGGAGGCCTTATCCCCAGTCACCACCTGACCGTCTCCTGGGATATCACCCCACAGCAGAAGCATGTGGAGGCAAGAGTTAATAAGCTAAATTTAAAATTTCACAGGTCTCCTATGTTAGGCATCATATTGGACACCTGCATAAAAGGAATGTCTATACTTGGCAGTTTAGGTTCCTTCACAAATAACATGAAAAGTAGCTTTGCAATTCAAATGTTGATCATCTACAGCAATATGGGGGAACCTCTTACCTGCTGGCTTAATCCACTCCTGGGTTGTTCTGGTGACCACACCACACTAATATTTGCATATTCCTCTATTCCCATTTTGAAAGACTGAAATGCTTCTCCTGAAGCAGTAGTGCCAGCGGTAGAAACATCTGTTTCTAGATTGCCTTTAAATGAAGGTTAGACAAAGTCACAGAGACTAGATCTTTCAGTGCCTGCTAGTTATGACACCATAAAACCTCTGGATGCTGTAAGCTGTAGAAGTTTCCTTCTGATCTAGGCCTTGCACTGGTGCCAAAGCCCACATGTGTGATGCACAGAGACCACGAGGAGGAACAGCAGGGAAAAGGGCTACTGCTTTTGTGAACCGGTTTGGGACATTCCTGAAATAGGATGCTGGACCAGACAGACCTTTGGCTTGCTTCAACAGGGTGTTCTTACAACTGGCAATGGGCCCAGGTGCCCATATGCCCTTGGATCCTTTTGTGAAGATTCCAGAGCTTTGCAACAGGACTGTGACACCTGAAGCCCTCCAGGTGTTGCCCAACTACAACTCCCATCTGTGTTAATGCTGGCTGAGGCTGATGGGAATTGAATCCAGCATGCTTTAGGAGACAGGTTCCTCACCCTTTCTTTACTGTGAAGGGAGGTGTTCAGCTCTGCGAGAAAACAGTAGTTAGTGCCAGTGGTAGAAACAGATATGTAAAGGATTGGGAGATAGTTCAAATGATCAGGACTAGCCAAGGTAGCTTGTTTATATTGGTGGTGTCTGGTGGGAGCTATTGGCTTACATACCCACCCAGGCATATGTCTGGTTCCGCCCCCCCCCCCCCCCCAAAAAACCATGCTAATGGTGCATCACATAACAGGCAAGCTCAGCTGCTTGAACCATTTTGGCTTGTTTGGTCATGCAAACTGGTCTTGGGCAGCTCTTGTGTAGCAATGATTGCAGACCTCCGAAATCACTGTCCCTACAGAAAGCTTGCTTACTGAGGGAGGGGCAGCTGGGGCAGGTAATATAAAAGACTACCACCTTATTCATTCTGCTGTGGAAAAAACACCAATAGAACTCTTTACTCAAAACATTAGAATGGTTTTACAAAGATTCATTGAATACAATAAAAAGTAAAGTTTATTCACATTTACACACTAGGAACTCACAAATCAACCAGCATGATAGTGTTAAAAAATAAGACCCTTAAGGAGGAGTGTACAATCCCATATATAACTGCATGATGTGTGTGTTTCTGATTATCTTCACTAGTGTGGTGACCCAGGAATGCCAGAAGAGATGCATCCAATAAAGCTTTCTTTTTTAATCTTAATCGGTGTGCTTAGAGTGGATAGAGTTGCCACTTTTTAATGGACCCTGCATATGTTCCTTTAATGGCTGCCTGAAATTTTTCATGTCTGGGAGAAGTTTTACCTGCTACCTGTCTACATCTCAGCCTATTGAAACAGGCTAAAAATAATGGATGACAACCCTAAGGATGGGGAAGAATAAGAAAACTGAACATTTATGAAGCTTGCCAGAATATGTAAGCTAAAAGACATGGCAAATACCATAGTCAGCACCCAGACATTCTCTGACATTTAGACTGAGTCAGACTAAATGTGTCTGTCTAGTCCAGTAGTCCTTGGGTCCCTTGGTATTGGCTTATAACTCCCATCATTTCTAGCCAGTATGCTGGATGGCAGGATCTGTAGTTCAGTACTAAGTCTGTCAATGGCTTTCCAGTTGTTCAGAAGATGTTCTACTCAACATGCTTTGACAGGAGTTGCTGAGGACATTCTAAAAGCAAAGCATCAGTTTTGCCACTAAGCTAAGGCTTCTGTCTCCACCTGCATCGCCTCCTGCCAGCAAGGCTCTGGAGACCACAAGGTGTTTGAGTGGAAGCTGGCACTCATTCAGAACTTCATACATGATTTCGTGCCATGGGGTTTTGGTGGAAAGATGATGGGGACCCTAGCCCACATCCTAAAACTGGTGAGCAACTTCTGAATCTCAAGAAGTTGGATTCCATTCTCCATTAGGCACCACCAGCATGGGTCACATGCAGGGGCAACGGAAGTTGCACTACAGCAGCAGCTAGAGGGACACAGATTTCTCATCCTTCCCCAGAACAACCCTCTCCACCGGATGCCCTGCAACTGCTTTGGACAATAGCTGTAATTTCTGACCTTTGGCCAAGTTGGTTGATGTTGAGGGAAACTGGAGGAAGGCAGCCTAAAGCATGGAAGAACTGTTTTCATTTCTAAGGGCCCTTCTTCAAATGAAACCATGGGAGACTTGCTGGATTTTAGGTCTATAAAATCATAATATGCTATTATGAAAAAAAAATCTTCAACATGAACATTTGCACTCAAAAATCATGCATTATCTAAAATAATCATGTCTTTCCCAGAGGCAAGCATTTGATACATTCCACTTTGTCATTATGCAGTGATTATTATCTATACATCTGGAAACCAGTTTCAGCAGGCCATCAGACAAAAAGGTAACCGAGAGAAAGAACACGGGAATCAGCTCTGTGGGTAAGATGTCGCTGTGTCTCATAGAGGTCGGTGGATACCACTGGAAGTAAAAGTCAACCTATAACATAGTTAAGAGGGAGCAGAACAAACACTGGGGGCAGGCTCAGCCCCCACTGCCCAGCATGCATCCTTCTGTCACCTCCCATCTTCCAGCTCGAGTTGGCACAGTTAGAGTCCTTCTAAAGATAACAAACAGAACACCTGGCCTTGTTTGGTACCATCCGGAACTCCCTTCAAGACTGGTAGCAGGATAAAGGGATATGGAGACATTACTGCAAGGGAGGTTGGTAGCACAGGGAATGGTTTAGGATTTAAAGGAAAACGACTGAACTACCTCCCCACAAATATTCCTAACTCTGCCCCTGAAATTTCACCAGTACGTCATTAGTCATATGTAAAGGTCAGTGTTCTCAGTTTTGTGGCTGTCTCTGTTTTGCAGCTGGATGTTGCCATGCTCTAACTTCAGCAACAGCATTTGTGTGGCAGAGACCTACTAAACGGCTTCATACGGAAGAGGAAAGAGGCAAAGCAGCAGAGAAACAATGCCTTCTCCAGGGTCAAGGGTGAGATTTCCTCCACCACCCCATACCATGGTGTCTTCCTTATTCTGCAGCCAAGGTTAAAGGGTGCTCAAAGGAGCTTGTTTCGTTCTCTGGGTTTGGGCTATTTTGAACAAAATGTGGCTACCTTGGAAAAACTAAATTGAACCCCTAGGCCAGTGATGGCAAACCTATGGCACCCGTGCCCAAAGGGGCACGCAGAGCCCTCCCTGTTGGCCCTCCCTGTTGGCTCCAGCAGCCATGCACATATTCGGAAAGATTAAGGGTGCTAGGCAAGATGTCACTCATTAGCCAAGACTGGCATGGCCGGTCAGTGAGCTGCCAGGGATTTGCTTGGACTGTGATTTTAGCAGAAGGTAAGCAAGGTAGGGAATACACTCCGATGCCTTTTTCAGGGCTGGCCAAAAGCTGGTGGTCAGCGGAACATTGTCCCCTTGTGCTGGTGGCCAGCAAATTCATGTTTTATTGCAGTGTTGGCACTTGACAATAAATAAGTGGGTTCTGAGTTACAGTTTGGGCACTCGGTCTCTAAAAGGTTCACCATCACTGCCCTAGGCCATTCTGAAAAACAACTGCTGCTCGCTATAGGGAAGGGTTAGGATGAGCTTGGGGAACATCACAAGGTGGAATGGGGCAGGGAGGGAGAAACATTACAGGAAAACAGAAGTCTGGATGTGGCATCCTCTGTATGTTGTTGCATTACAACTCCTACCAGACCCAGTCAGTGCGGCCAGAGGTCATGGATGATGGGAGCTGTAATCTAACAATCATGCTTACTGCTGCTGTAAAGGTTCATAAACACTGGTTAAAATAGTCCCAATGAGAAACGTGACATCCAGCTAGAGAAAGAGGATGGTTTGCTGGTTTTAATGCTCTCAGATGAGAGCAGCTTCCTTGCTCCAAAAAGGATGAATGTGCAGCATGTGAACTGAATCCTGGTTTGCCTCTTTCTATTTGCCCATTCCTCCATGCTGCAGGCAGACTTGTTTAATTTATTTAAAGTACCTTGCATATACATCCAGTCATTTAAAAAAGCACCAAGTGAACATATGGAAAACAATGTTTTGCCCTGAAAATTGGCTCTGAGAAGTCAGGGGGTGGCTCTGTTGTTGCCACAAAGGTTAGCCAGTCAGCACTACTCAAGCCTACTGCTTAAAGGTGTGTGTCGGGGAGGGCAGGTGGAGATGGCCTTGCGACTGACACAAGAGCTGACAGTGCAAATCCAACTACACAAGGAACCGCTTCTCCCTGAGCTTGGGCCTCAGAAGAACTGCGTCCCAAGTGCCTCTCACTTGCTCCAAAGCGTGCACTGCTCAAGCTGTGTCTACACTGGCTACCCTACGTAGCTTCTCCTCCTTAGTTTTGGAAATGTAATACTCAAGTCATCTTTTAAATGAAGTTTGGGTTCTCGTGCTCTTTTCTCACCAGTCTCTTGTGCCTTTAGCAGTTTTTTGACTGGCAGAAATTCAAGGGAACATTACCCTGGATGAAAGATTCAGGGAGGACAAATGCATCCCTCAGTGGAATTGGACTGGCTGACAGTTGCTAAAGCCACAAGAGCAGCTGCCAAACAAAAGAGTAGCAAGCTCACTTGAAATCTACTGCAAAAATAATCTTTGCATACTGGACTTCTGGCTCCAAATTGGCAATTCCCTGTGAAACATACACCTTAAGCCCAAGGCCTGGTGTCTGTATTTTCATATAACTTCTAAGAAAACCTCCATAGGAGTATAAAATTGAAGGTTTCTCCCATTTTTCCATCACTTAGCCTTGCATTTGCACTTACACCTATTTCTCTTTTTGAAAGAGAAGTGTTCTGGTACTTACAAGCCAGAGCCCCCAATCCTCTGCACTTACACTCTTGCCTATGAGCGGACCCATGGAAACGGCCTGACGTGGCTGCCCGGTTGAGCGTCAGCCGTGCCAGTCACTCGTATCCCCAGGTTAAGGACTTGACAAAGTCAGAGGGTCACAGTCAGGGCAATTTGTTTACCACATGAGATAGAGCAACAACAATAGGTTATCATCCCAAAGGGCAAAACAGAGTGAGAGAACGGTCAGGTGTGTGTTTCCCGTGCAAAGTGGGAGGCAACTGAGACCGCTTTCCTCTTCGGCCTTGACCAGTGCCCCTTCTCTGTGTCCTGCGGGTCTCGCTGGCTCTCTGCAGCATCAGTCATTTCATCTCATGGCTTTGAGGTTCTTCCATTCTTGTGTGGGAAGCAGAAAAGGATCTCACAGGATGCTCCGGTTTGCAGGATGCACCACTGAAGACTTCACCGAGATCCACGCACGGGAAAGGGAGAGCCATGGCCGGAGGCGAAGTCACCCGTCTGATGGCGGTTCTGGGGAGCCTGAGGAGGCCCCACCGTCTTCAGCACTGAGGCAGCTGGGTCGGGAATGGCACTGCATGCTCAGGGTACTCAAGGCATTCCAAACCAAGGTGACTTTCGAAGTGCGACTCCCATGGCGCTGCTCCTCTGCCTTCCGTTTTATCAGGCCGAAGACCGTCGGCTGCCCTGACGGAACGGTCCTGTGTGGTCTCACAGCCTTTTCCCCCCCACACGAGGCAAGACGGACATCTGGTTTTCAAAAGCTGGTACATGAGGCAGCAGGACCTGCTGCTGCTCATCCTAGGGGCACATGAGCGAGGAAAGGAGCAAAGGTTACTGGACTGGCAGAAGGAAGCCTGGCTAAATGAGGGGGCGGGATGTCGCCACCTCAGCTCTTGCTCAAAGCTGCTGCACAAGGTCACATTGGAGAAAGCTGCTTCGGGCAGTCCCTGTCTTGGCCACTGCAGGAAGAGGCACGCAGGCCTGGATAGCGAGGCTCCTCAGGGCAGGAGGGGCATCGCGTGAGCACCCGCGGACTCACTGCATACCTGCGACTGGCAAGAGAAGACTGCCTTGCGGTAGCAGAGTCTGGGAGCGCCAGAAAGCAGGGGGCCCGCCCTGGAGCGGCAGCACAGCACTGTCCAGCGTGGCACGGCCTTTCCGTCTTTGCAGAAGAGGCGGGGGAGTCTGCAGAGGGCAGCCGGGCCTGGGGAAGAACCAATAACACAGCCACACAGTGAGACCCAGACGTGCCGAACACTGACTTGCCCCTTGAATGCTGGCGGCTGGCTTCTCAGCCATTCACGGAAACGGGGAAGCAAAACTGTGCAGCATTTTCCAAAGCTCCCTGTGTTAATGGCAGTCTGCAACAGCAAGGGTGGCGTGAGGCGGCTCTGACCCCTGACTCGCCACACTTTAACCCACAGCAACTAGCAGGTAAGAAAACAGAAGCAATGGACAATGAAATGAGATGGATGGAGAAGCAACAGAGCACACGCCCCATCATTGAAGAGGTCCACGCAGCAGGCAGGCATAGAGCTGAATCTCTGGACTGAAAAACACTTATCTCGTCTGCAGGCTCTACCCTGAAGCCAGAGCCCCTGAACCTCTTTCTGCTTGAATTAAGTTTCACAGCAGCTCTTGGCAGCTGCATTGCAGGTGATCAGGACCAAAAGCAAAGGGGCTGGGCCAACACACACACACACACCTTGCACAGAGGACTTCAACCTTTGCTTGACACAAAAGGCTGAGAAACCATTGGATCATTGGTAGTTGGGGGAAAGTGAGTGGGGTCATCTGAGGATCCCAGGGATTGGCTCCTAGGACTCTGAGGTTCTTCATCCCTGCCCTGAAGGGGAAGAATCTCTCCAAATGAAAAGCAGTTGGGGAGAAAATATTTGGAGATAATGTCACTGTGCAGAATAGCAAATTTTATTATGGAAAGAAGAGAAAAGAAGCAATAGTTGGTGAAGAGTTTTGGAGACAGGAAATTGGAATCTGATGAGAATGAGACTGTGGGCATAGCTGACTCTAATGGCAGTGGGGTGTGTTGAACTTTTATGGAGCCATCCATGTTGCTGAACCCAATCCACCAAAATAGGCTAATCACTATGGGGATCTCCTTTGAAGTTTGGACTGAAATTCAGAGTAGATACACCACCCCACTGATATTGAAGATGGCAGCTATTGGTGGAGCAAGAAGTCTGGTTGCATTTTGTGGGTTTTATGGGCAGAGGTGGCCTCTGCTGCTCCTTATGGGACGGCTGAGGGTTTGCTTGGTGCACAAAGCGCTTAGGGTCAGTGGGTGGGGAAGGAGCTCTTGCATTTTAAGAGCTGAAATTCAACCCGCAACATCCCCATCACTGTATCTCAGAGATGCTACAACATTGAGGCTTTGGGGTGAGGGCTGGGACCGCTCCCCCACCCTGTTTCAGTCATCTCAAGCAGCAGCCTGCTGGTCTCCTAGCCAGTGCTGCTCCTCACCTGCCATGGGTGGTTGGCAGAAACTTAACTTGCATTGCTTGTTATTGGGAGAAGGAGTGGGGCTCACAGCAGGATGCTGTGGTGTGGAGCGCTCTTTTCAGGGTGGCAGCCGGCCAGGATGCTCCCCCAGGACAGAGTCTTGTCTGGCTACTGAGCATGCTCAGTCCCCTTTCGGTGGCTCCATTCCCTCTCTTTCCTTTGTTCCTTCCAGGGGCTTTCCCCTTCCAAAACAGCAAAGAAGCTTGAGGAACCAGAAATATGAGCATTTTTTCCCGGTGATTACAGCAAAGCAAGGAAGAGTCTTCTAGCACCTCAGATACTAAGGAATCTATTATGGTATTAGCATTTAGAGCCTAAAGTCCACAAAAGCTCATGCCATAATAAAGTCTTTAAAACGGCCACAAGCCTCTTTCTTGTTTTAATTGCAACAAACTAACATGGCTTTCCTTCTGGGGAAAAATCTCTAAAGATTGTTTGCATTTCTGGAAAGCGAGTGGGGTGCCTTTCCAGCCTGCTCACACCATTCTCTTGTGGCCAGATTGTTACTATTTTAGCTATATAAGGATAGATACCAGGAAAATGAATTTGCTAGAAGTACACCTAAGATTTCTGTATGGGAAGTGCTTTGAGCTTTCTAGCATATTGCATAAATACTTATGACAATTAGTTCAGGAAAACATTAACCCTTTTTACTCTCTAATAATAGCTCTCATACAGCTATTACAGCAGCTCCCCTTGGGATGAAGATTCAGTGATGGGGGAAGCTTCACCTGTTGAATTCAGTGTAGTATACCACTGTTAAAGGCAAAGGCTTCTTTTAAAAGGGAGGCAAGATTCCAATAGCATCATTAGAAATCATGATGGGGAATCTAAGCAGGAATCTATTAAGACAATGCGCGATTTTGATAGTGCAGAAAGAGGCGATCCTAACTGAGCAACACTTTGGAAGACACATGTACAAAAAGGACGATCTTTCAGTCAGCCTGAGCTGCTGGAATTTTCTGGTGACTTATTCATGCACACTATGTCAGTTCTTCATTAAATATCTGGCATGTACTGTGGTGTGTTTCTACTTGCCCATTAGTAATTTGTTTATACAATAAAATGTCAGGAATTATTCACTGGTAAACTTTTAGGGAAGAGTAATAGGGGTATAGAAGCAGAAGAGCAGGGATCAAGGACCACCATGAAAGACCATCACTCCATTAATATTCCACATTGCCACCGAAAAACTGTAAGCATTTAGCAGCAACCACCCACATTTTCCCAGGCTGTTCTCTGTTACCGCAAGCTCACTTTCTGTGGCAACTTCCACAAGTCTCTGCTCAATGCAGCATATAGATGGCCATATGCAGAAGAAGAGCCTTGCTGGATCAGACCAAAGGCCCGCCTGCTTCAGCATTCTGTCCACAGCGTGGCCACAGATGCATATGAGAAGCTCCCAAGCAGGACAAGCACAACAGTGTCTTCCCAGTCATATTCCCCCAGCAAATGGTGCACACGGGCAGTATGCAGCCATCAAGGCAAGTCATCTTTGATCATCGGCTTGCCCTCCATTAATTTGTCCAACCTGATAAGCTGAAGTTCCTGCCTTCTAACTTTCAGCTGTATTCCAAGAGCCTGGGAAAACCTCAGATCAGTGGGCTCCTGCATATTCGTTTTGACCCCACTGGGAGGAGACAGGGTTCTCTTTCCTTTCCCTGCCCAGCAGGTCTCATGGTTCTGTCCCCGTGCAAACTGGAAGGGCTGGCTGCTCTTCTTAGCTTCCCCTACAATTTCTCTGCTTGTTTCCTCTACACACAGCAAAAGATATCAGTGAGTATGTACTCTCATTCCACAATAATATCCCACAAGCACTGATCTGGTACTGGGAACAGAGTTCAGCATTTTGAAATCGCTGTGTTCCTTTTTTCAAAAGAGAGTTTCTAGACTCTGTGAGGCAACATGGATAGTCTGAAACATATGTAGGCAATGCCCACAGAAGAAGAAGAGTTTGGAAACAAGCGGGATTTACAACTGCAAAGCACTTTCCCTCTCCACATAAGCAGTGAATGTAGAATAAGGGTGATGAAAAGTTAATGCAAAATCAACTCCTCTTGGTGCAGGATTTTGGATACCATGATAAATAAATTCTATTTATTTTAAAGTGCAAAATAGGAATTCTTCCTCCTTCCTCTTTCCCTCACACATGCAGAGTGCCCTGCAAAAGACCACAGTCCCCTTACCACTGCTGTGTCAACAGTACAGCAAAAAAAAAGGGGTAAGAGGAGGCAGGAAGGATGGCAGGAAATGTTCTGTACTATGAAGCCTGGCTCTTTTCTGGCTAGAAACAGAGGTTGAACATGGAAGGTTCTTAAAAGACAAGAGAAGCAGATCTTGAAGAACTTGGCTGAGCAGAAACAGAACCAGATGCTGACCAAGTACCTTCCAGCATGCTGCATGGCAAGCAGCTAGTGGTGGGCCCTGTGAAGCATGGAGTACAGGCCATGAAGCCCCAGATGAGGGCCCAGCGTCAACTAGCTTGCAGTGGTGGCACCCGGCTTTCAAACAGGTTCGAATAGTTGTCTTCTTCCTTTTCAGATGTTGTACCCACCTGTCACTCTGCAACAGGAGACCCATGTCTAGGGTTTTCTTTTTTTTTCTTTTTCACTAAGGATGCCTTCCACATTTATGTCTTTTTTAACCCCCCCCCCCCCCCACCCCCGCTTAAGGAAAAAGCTCAACAACATCAGCATTGTGCTGCAAATATGTACCATAGGCTGGGGAGTAAACTGGGCGTGGGTCAAAACCCAGACATCGAAGGCCAACATTTTCTTAGATCAGTGGGACTTTTGCAAAGAAATAAGATCACCACCCCTTCCTGTCCACAGGTAATAAAAGAAGAGCATTGAACCCCAATATCATTTAACTTCATCCTTACATAGTGAAAATAGTGAAAACATTCCTGATTTAAAAAGGCTGCCCAAGTTTGTCCCACCTGACCTCCTTCATTCTTGAGCATCGTTCTACTATTTCCTTGAACAAAGCTCCCCACCCGTCCCCATCACAGCCCAGAAATCATCTATTTGCAGGCTCTTTAAATATGCGATTGCAAACAGAGTAACTCAGATTGCTACTTGCCTCTTATGGTTTTCTGTCTGAGGCTTTCATGTTACGAATCCCTAAAGCTGAAGCGGAAGGACCAAACTGCACTTTGGTAGGAAGACTGGCTGGCTGCACAGTCTAATGATCTTTCCTTCTTGGGAAACCTGCCTGGGAACAAATATTCTAACCTTAAACCTTTCTGCCTGAATTTACCATGCTCTATTACCTTCTCTCTCTAGCCCTGAACCATTATCTACTCAATTGTCGTGCTGACTTCTAGAGTTATATAATTTAGTCAGCCCTGAATTAATCCACCTGGTTAGTGCTGGCCCATGGTCTCTGCTTGCAACGAGCTTTCCAGTCGTTATTCTGAGAAACACTTCCAGGTCGCCCTTTGGTTCAGAGCTCCCGATTTCTCTACCATGGTATTGCTGTGCTCTCTTGCCCTTTTTTTTGCTGGGCCACACCTACCCCCACTCCAACTGGGCCTCATTTCTTCCCTCCCCACAGGCAGCTGCCTAATTCCTGCCTCTCCATGCTGTCCGGCTGCTCTACCGGCCATTATACACTGGGGCCAGCTTTTCCGTCAAAGTCCTTTATTGGGGCAGAGAGTCCAGCTCCCAGCAATTTGACATGATTTCCTGTGCAATGACCCCCTCAAGCAGGGCTCAGCCCCCTCTAGCATGATTCCCCACTGCAGCCCCAAGCCCAGGGCCAGGGCTGCTCCTGGGTCACCGGCAGATCCTGCTCCTGCTCAGCTGCCTCCTCCTGATCATGGATGCTCGGATGGCATTGAGCTCAGCGACTGAAGCTAAATCCAGGCCCGGAGGGGAGGGAGGAGAAGGGGGCAAGGGCAAGCTATGCAGGAAGGAGTGCTTTAAGCCCCGCAAGCGCTCCTGCACACTGGGCCTCACGGGATAGGAGGGAGAGGATAGGTGGGAAGAGACTGGCCGCTCCCCAGAGACAGTATGCATTCCCTGCAGCTGCAGCTTCAGGCATAGCTCCCTACCTGGCACGCAGATTGCCTCTCCGGGCACCTGCGCCACCACACCGGTGAGCTTGGTGCCTCTGGCATGATGGCGGGTGGACTCCTGCGGACTAGTGGGCAGCTTTTGAGAGCTGGATTTGGTGCACAGCTGAGCTGGGCACGGCACCGTGTCCCCCGGGATGACCGTGGTACTGGCCAAGCTGTGCGCCATCAGCACCCTTCTGTTACGGGGATCCGCTCTGAGCCTGCCGGGCAGCCTGAGTCCCGCCGATGCGGAAGAGGGGACCTTGCAGGAGGGCGCCTTCTCTCGGGCTTTGTTCTCTTTCCCGGGGGCTGCTGGCTCCGCAGTCTTGCTGCTGGGTGCTGTCCAGCACGGGGTAGGCGCGCGAGGGACGCTGTCGCTCCTGTGCCGGTAGATCACCTTTGGGGCCTTGGGCTGCTGTGGGCCGCAGCCGCTCTTTGCGTCAGCCGGGACAGGGCTTCTTACGAGCGCAGGCCGCGGTTTCTTAACGGTGGAGCCTTCCACCACAAGGCTAATGCCAACGTACTGGGGAACCTCCACGGCGGCCTGTGGGGAGAAAGGGAAGCAGGGCGGGAGGGTCACGCACGGCTCGTCTGATCAGGCAGGGACGGGGCAGGAGGAATGCCCACGGCATTTGGCTTACACAGCTGAAGCAAGACTTTGCAAACCTCCCTCGGATGAGATTCAGGGTCACTGGACAAGAACCATCCGCAAGCTGCAGCTGGGTCTGATGCAGAGCCATTCCCAAACGGCACTGTGGCACATCAGGACCCAACCCGAGAGGAAATTCAAAGGGTGGCAAAAAAGTGGAGGGCCTTCTCCAGGGTGGCTTCCCCATTATGGCCCACCTGGTGCCAACTCTGTTATCCTTTTGCCCAGATTGCCCCCTATTCTGGGGCATTTCATGGCTTTCAATGGTATATGTGAGGTTTATGTCAGGATTTTTTCCTCCTCTCAGGTTTAGCTGCATCCAACTTTTTAAAGGTGTTTTAAATTTTTTAAATCCTGTTTTAAATTGTCCATTGCAATTATATGTTGCCTCTGATGTATCTGTATCCTTTATTGTATGTTATAATATTCTGTGAATTGTTAATCAGGAAGCTTCAGCTATTGGGCAGTACAGAAATGAAAGGAACAAATATATAACAACAAAAAGAAGAATACTGAACAACAGAGAAAATGTGTTAGGATGCTACAAGAAATTGTATGGTTAAAACCATCCTGTGGTAATTCATGCCTCACTTTCTCCTTTCCATCAGCCTCCTCTGAGGGCAGGTAAGAACAGAAGGAAAGCACTTCTGGATCAGACCAAAGGCCCATGCAGTCCACCATCCTGTGTTCTATAATGGCTGACCAGATTGGTGATTGGTGGAAGATTCAGGACAGGTAAAAGGAAGCACCTTTTTGCACAGCATATAGTTAGCTTGTGGAATTGCTTCCATGGGATGTAGTGACGGCCACCAATTTGAATGGGTTTAAAAGGGGATTAGACAGTTTCACACAGGAGAAAGCTATCAGTGGGTTCTAGTCCTGATGGCTATATCCTACCTCCAGTATCAGAGGAGTACAATCATATATACTAGTTGCTGGGAAACGAAGATGGGAGGGTGCTGTTGTGTTTATAACCTGCTTGTGGGACCATGCAGGCAGCTGGTTGGCCAGTGTTTGAACAGAATACTGGACCAGATGGGCCCTTTGCCTGATCCAATAGGGCTTTTCTTAGATTCTTATCCATCCATGGGAATCCCACAAGTACATATGAGGTCAACCATTCTCTCCACTGTTATTCTCCTGCAATACTTCTGCAGCATCCCTACATCAGAGTGATGAAACAATTTGATTCCATGCACATCCATGGTGGAACAACCCAGAGGTGGTCACCTGCTATGGGTCCACATTAGATGTTCCCTAAGCACTGTTTCCTTTCAATCAGGAAGGACTTGCAGGTGACTTCCCACACTTAGAGAAGTGCAGGTACCACACAGTGCGTGTGTGCACCCTGCTGTGCTGCAGCAGGCCATGACAACCATCTAGACAGGGACGTTCAACCGATGTTTAATGTAAATTTTAAAATGTCTACTAGGCTAAAATAATTTAGTTCTAATTAACAGATCAGAAGGTGAGAAAGAAATGTGTCAAATTTTCTGCACGAGCAACATATGAAAACAAAGGGAAATGATTTGGTTGACAATACCATGTAATTGCTCTGTAAATTATTATTATTTATTGCATTTATATGCTATACCTTTAGCCAAAGTCTCTCTGGGAGACTTGCAATAGATAACACAACAATAAAACACCAATGACAATATACAATTCAGTTAAAATAATAATAAAACAGTATAAATAAAATTATATACAACCCAGTAGTAAAAACAATTAAAAAAAGATCAGTTTCAAATGTAGTCTGGCAGTTAAAACTCACAAAGGCAGTAGCAAAAGGGTCCAGAGGAGGGCAACAAAAACGATCCAGGGTTTGGAAACATTGCCCTGTGAGGAGAGACTGAGAGAACTGGGCAAGTTCATCCTTGAGAAGAGAAGACTGAGGGGGGACATGATACCCCTCTATAAATACCTCAAAGGCTGTCACCAAGAGGAACATCAAGATCTCCTTGTTCATACCAGAGTGTAGGGCACAGAATAATCAACTCAAGTTGCGACAATCCAGATTGAGGCTAGATATCAGGAAAGGTTTCCTAACTATCAGAGCAATATGACAGTGGAACCAGCTGCCTTGAGAGGTGGTGGGCTCTTCCACACTAGAGACATTCAAGGTGAAACTGGACAACCATCTGAGAGGGATGGTATAAATTGGTGTCCTGCAACAGCAGGGGGTTGGACCCAATGGCCTTCATGGCCCCTTCCAATTCTATTATTCTATGATTGTATGATTCTATGAAAACCAAAAATCAATTTTAAAAAGCCAAATTACTCATCAAAACTACAAAATAAAAATGTTTTCAGTTGATGGAAAGAAAAAATTGACAATGCTTGGCAGATTTCTTTAGGAAATTAATTCCAAAGGTGTGGTACTACTACAGAGAAGGCCCTTTTCCTGGCCATCTTCTGCCTCACTTCATTTGGGGGGTAGAACTCAGAGGACCTTAGTGATCGGGTAGGAACATCTGGAGACAGATGTTCCCTCAGATATCCTGGCCCCAAGCCATTTAGGGCTTTGTATGTTAAAGTCAGCTCTTTGAATTGGGCCCAGCCGAGGTGATTAGCCTACAAAGTAAAGAAAGAAAGAGAGAAGAGACTATTAAGTAAATTGAAGGATGGAGAAGGATGACTGCAAGTACAAAGTATACATATCAAGAAAATAGCGGAAGATTTCTTTGCAAAGCTATACCAGAATGATGAGATTTCAACTGAGAAAGTAAACAAATATATCTGAAAGGGAGCCCTGCCAAAGTTACCGGAGAAATACCAAAAAGTATTGAATCAAGAAGTAACAATCACAGAAGTAATAGAGGCAATTAAGAGACAAAAGATTGACAAAACTCCTGGCCCGGATGGGCTACCAGCAGAGTTCTATAAATCATTTGAAGGAATTTTTGCTACGCTTCTTAAGGATATATGTAATGCAGCATTGTTAAATGCTAAAATACCAAATACTTGGACAGAGGCAAATATTACATTAATACCGAAAGAAGACACGGGCTTGACGCATATTCAAAATTATAGACCTATATCACTATTAAATGTGGATTACAAAATTTTTGCCTCCATAATGGCAGAAAGATTGAAGAAGTATCTAACAGAATTTATTCACTCAGATCAAAATGGTTTCTTACCTAAAAGACAAATGAGGAATAATATGAGAACTATCCTGGACATCTTAGAGTATTATGAGATACATACGGAAAAACCAATGGCACTATTATTCATAGACACACAGAAGGCTTTTGACAATGCTAATTGGCAATTTATGAAGCAACAGCTAGTTCAAATGGAGTTTGGTGAAAAGTTCATTAATGCGATATCAAGCATCTATCAAAAGCAGTCTGCTAGGATTATAATCAATGGAGAACTTACAAATATTATAGATATACAAAAGGGTACAAGACAAGGATGCCCGTTATCACCACTGCTGTTTATATTGATCTTAGAAGTGTTAAACAGAAATATCAAGGACGATATGGCCATTCAAGGTACTAGAATCAGAGATGAAAGCTATAAACTGCAAGCATTTGCAGATGACCTAGTTTTCATCATTGAGGAACCTTTAGTAACAATGCCTAAACTCCTACAAAGGATTGAAGAGTATGGTGAGGTTACTGGGATGAAAATAAACAGAGAAAAGACGAAATTGTTAGTAAAAAATCCCACACAGGAGCAGAGAAAAACTCTGGTGGAACAAGTAGACTTTCAGATTGTTAAAAAGGTTAAATATTTGGGAATTTATCTTACAGCTAAGTGTACCACTCTGAAAGAAGACAATTATGATAAACTATTTAAGGATATTAAGAGTGATTTGGAAAAATGGGCTAATTGCAAATTAGCCCATTT